CTTGATATCTCGGCATCATCACACCCGCGCTACCACGTGTGAAGTTCTCGGAAACCTCCCAGACACGACATGGCCTCTCCTGCCACTCTGACACTCTCCCCTCCTCTTTGCTAGTCGTTTTCTACCTTCTAGAGAGACTTTTCCCAAGTGTGATCTTTGGTCCTATCCATGCCACCTCCCCCTGTCTCCCTTTCCTCTCTCAGAGAACTCATCCATGCTCATGGGCTCGAATGTCAGTTACCTGCACGTGATTCCCTTCAGTCCCCTGGATTCCACACACTCTCTGTCCTTGCTTCAGCACTTGACCTCTGGCTTCCCATTGCCTAATAGATGTTTCCATTCAGACGTCCTGTTGTCATCTCAAACTAAACATGCATGAAATCAAGCCTGTCCTCCCCTCCCAGTTTCCATTTCTTTTTCTGCCCACGGCACCAGCATTCTCTCATCCATCCACGCTCAAAACCTGAGTCATATTTGACCACTCCTCCCCATCCTTGCCTTCCCAAAGGCAAGTCTTGCCAGCTTCCTTTGTGACTTCTCTTTCTTTGTCCTCTGCATTGTCTGCTCATCTGGGTCTCAGCACCCATGTTTTGAATATTTTAGAGCTTCCTGCTTGGCCCTCCTGCCTGCAGTTTGTTCCCCATCTAGTCTCTCATACCTGGTCAGACAGATTCTCCAGAATGATTACTCTTCTGCTTAGAACCCTTAGGCACTGTCATCACCATTGAGGAGTCCACACTGCAAAGGCCCCAGGCTCAAGACCCTGTGTCGGTCAGTCCCAGCCACCTCACTAGTGTCATCCCACGTGATATGGACGCAGGCTGTGCAGCGGGGCTCTGGAATCAAATCCTGTCCCTCACAGTCACGTGCTGTGTGATCCTGGGCAAGTACTTAACCTTTCTGTGCCTGAGTGTCCTCTTTAGATCACCTTACAAAATGTTTATAATTGTTTTTAGGATTGCTGTGAGGATAAAGGTCACTTAGGACAGTGCTGGGTACATAGCAAGCACTGAAACGCTAGCTTTGGGCTGTGCTGATTTTCACAGAGCAAGTGCTGCGGTCCCCACACGTTTCCCCTGGGTGCACACACCCACCCCTCCTCACGGCCTTTGCTTAGCCCACTCCCTCAGTCTAGAATGTTTTCCTCTGTCTGCTGACTCTTACTCATCCGTCAAGGGCCACTGGCCTCCCATTTCCTCCCAGTACACACTTGCTGGGTGCTTTTTATCGTGCTGCTCAGCCTCAGCTGGTGGTAGTGGGTGTGTCATGGTATTTGAAACCAGCCATAGGCCACACATGAATGCGTCTTCCTGGGGTTCATTTTACTTGATAAGTGACTTCAGCCGTTTTTGTTTTGTTTTGTTTTTGGCTGCGCGATGCACAATGGGGGATTTTCGTTCCTCAACCAGGATTGAACCCACGTCCCCTGCAGTGGAAGCTGGGCGCCTTAACTGCTGGGCCACCAGGGAGGCCCCAGGTTCAGCCGTTTTTATGTTACAGCAGCTACTTGAGACATACCATGGAATAGAATGCAAAATTTGCCAAAGATAAAACACACAACTACTAAGAATTTCAGAGTGGTCCCAGGGGTGAGTGTGCCCTCCTTCTGCAGTGGAAAGGTCTGAGAAGCAGGGGCCTGATGAGTTGAGGAGCCAAGTGTGATGAGATTGAGCAGGGGTCATGTAGCAAGATGTGGCAGCCCTGGACTCAGGGCCCTTGCAGTGAGGCTCCCTGTGACACGCTGTGCCTGGTCCGTCCTGAGAACTCTGTCTGTACCTTCCTACCTGCCCCAGGGTAGCACTCGTAGTGCGTTGTTTTTCCACTTTCCACATGGATAGGTCTTTTCGATGCCACCCTAAACACCTGGAGTGCAGATGTGGGTAGGAATGCAGGTGTGCGGTCTCAGAGTGGGAAGGCAGACCCGGGTGGGAGTTGGGCCCTGGTGTTCACTGATGAAGCAGGGCACTTTTCCTGTCAGCCTCGGTTTCCTCATCTGTGAAAGTGGCTGATACTCACCTAACGAGATTGTTCTGAGCAGTCAGCGGGGTGACCTGAAGCGCAGCAGATGGCACGGGTCAGTGCTCGGTAAACATCCGCTCCCTCCCAGTGTACCAGGCTGTCAGAAAAGATCTGATTCTTGAATGTTCCCTCCCCCGGCCATGTCCTCTTCCCTGCATCTGCCCCCACTCCCTCTGCCTCCCTTCCTGTCACCATGGATGCTCTGATCTAAGGCCACCCTCTTCCCTGTGCTAGTCCTGGCCCTCCTCACCTTCACAGACTCCACTCATCACACCGCCTCCCCTGTCTCCTTGCCCTCAGTGCCCCACCCCACTGGGTCTCCCCCCTTACTGGGTCATTGTGCTGTGCTGCCACCCTAACACAAAAGACGAAGCAGAACAGCAAATAATAAACACCGTTCCTTGACCCCCACATCCTCTCTAGTTGCCACTTCTCTGCTCCCTTCACAGTGAAAGGTCCCTGACTTGCTCCTTGTCTCCACTTCCACCACCCCTCCTTCTGCGCCCACTCTAGGCCCAGTCCTATAACCACCAGTCCAGGGGGACCGCTTGTCTCCAGTGGCCTCCACGTGCCCAAGTCCAGCATGCGTTTCCCAGGTTTATTTTACCAGCCTGTCAGAAGCATCTGAGACCTTGAAACACCCTCTGCCCAGGCTCCCAGGCCCTCCTTTCTCCTGACTTCCTCCTGTTGCCCCTCCTCAGTCTCCTTGCACAGGCCCTTGCCTCTAACTATACACACTCAGGTAATCTCATGCCCACACATGGCTTTCATTGCCACCTAAAGGATGCCCAAATTTCTATATCAAATCGAGAGCTCTTCCTGGAATTCCAGGCTTATGTATCCATCACTGCCTACTCCCCAGCTTGGATGTGTCACAGACCTCAAATCTGAACTCTTAATTCCCCACCCCACCCTCCCCTTCCTGCAATCTTTCCCATCTTAGTAATGGGAACTCTGTTCTTCCAGTTGTTCAAGCCAAACCCTTTGGAGTTATCCTTGGCTCCTCTCTCTCTTAAACCCCACAGCCAACCCATCAGCAAGTCCTGTCAGTTAGTTCTTCCTTCAAAATACAGAAGGAATCTGGCCACTTCCTACCTCCATCTCCTACCCTGGTGTGCATCACCATCACCTCTCACGAGGGCTCTTCTGCCCCCTGCCCCCTACTGTTTTCTACCACCAGCCGTGTTTGTCATTTGTTGGCTTAAAACCCATTGACGACTTCCTCTCTCGCTCAGAATAAAATCCAGGTTCCTCACCCTGGTCTGCAACTACCCTGGGACCACCCTGGTTACCATCTGTCCTCATTTCCCCTCACCCTCCCCTCACTCCCTCAGCCCGGCAGCCCTGGTCTCCGTGCTGCTCTCTGACCGGGCTGGGAGCACGCCTGCCTCGGGGAGGGTGTGCTGGCTGTGTCTTCTGCCGGAAGCCCTCCTGATGCCACCCTGTCGGAGAGCCTCCCCTCACAGCCTCTCTAGCACCCTTGGCACTCTTTGTCCTCTCACCCTCATTTTGCCCAGCACTGACTACTGCCTGACATAATACTTATGTGTTTGTTTTTGTCCATCTCCTCACCACTAATAATACCCCCAGAGGACCTCTTGAGTCCAGTACACAGCAGGTGCTCAGCAGCCAGGTGGGGTGGGGGAGACTCGAAGAGCCTAGTGCACATGGCCCCTAGTCTCTGCACCACCACATACTTGCTGGTGCTTCTGAGCAACTCTGTACAACAGTCTAGGCTTCAGTGTCCTACGTAAAACCTACTGTGAAGATGTTTTTGGAAACTTAGAGATAATACATTCAAAGTACTTGAGGCATAGTCAGTGCTCAATAAAATGGGGACTAAAAAGACCACTTGGCTGCCCCCTGGGCCTGCTTCCAAGGAATTAATAGTTCTGTCTCTAGCTGCCACAGGACAGAGAGCTGAGGCATCACATGAAGGTGACACCTTATAAGCACTGATTCCATTCTCCGTGTCCCAGGGTCCCCTAAGCGTTGTCAATACAGCCAGTTGTCCTCCATCTCCAGGACCTGTCAGTTCCCTACCGAAGCTCCTCAGATGATGGCCATCTCTGAGCAGGTCCTGCAGGTTGAAACCCTCCCCCAACCCTGCCTTGGAGCCAGTTGGCTCCCAGTGGCAAGTGGAGGTGCTTTCTGGGAATGTGATGTCTGTATGAACCTTATAAGTGGGCCCATGGGTCCTGCTCTGACAAAGGACCCATTTTTGTGAGTTAGGCAGCACTGGGCAGGCTAGGTGATGGGTTCAGTGGTTTTTTTCCAGGCTGGTCGGTGAAGGTGGCTAGAGTCGTTCTCCTGTGAACCACCAGGGGGCGCCAGAGGCTGCCCAGCGCTTGTAAGGACCGACGGTTGTTTTTTTTTGAAGGTGTCTCTCCTTCCTCTTTGGTCTCGGGTTAGGAGTGGAAGAGACACAAACACCTTGCAGGACAGCACGGTGCTGGTTCTCAGCCACCTGTCAACAGCCCAGGCAGGGCCCCATAAAGAGACTGGTCAGGTTTCCAGGCTCAGAGTTCTTTATTGATAAGCACTAGTGAACCCCTTGCCCTGTGAGCTTAGCCAGTTCTGCCCTCAGGCTCCTAGCCTGAGGTGCGGGTGCATCTTGGCCTCTGAGGTCATCTGCCTTCTGCTGGAGTCTGGTTCTGCCCAAAGCTGCGCCTTATTTGCCACATTATGCCAGGGACCACGGGCTCCAGGTCAGGGGTGTGGCAGGCTTCAGAAGGGTCATGGCCAGGCCCTTGTCCTCAGAGACCACTCTCCGTGTAGGGGGCACCTGGCTTCCGCAGTGTTGATTCTCAGAGAGGGCCCTGGAACCCTGCTGGTTAGACCTCCAGATTCAGCCTCTTTCCTTCCCTGTGAGCCTCTTTTCTGCCAAATGTTCTCCACGGCAGAGCTGAGCCGCGGGGCAGCAACTGGCTCTGGCTTGTGTCCGCTTCTCCAGTAGCAGGCAGGAGGTCTTCGGTGGTGCGTCAGAGGGGGTAGAAGTGCCAGAGGCTGTGCAGGGGGGTTGGGGTAGAGGGAAAACCGCGTCAGTGAAGTCTCTCCACTTGCTCTCACCAGCCCCAGCTCTTGGCCACAGCCTAAAGTCCTTGGCCAACCTTTGAGCACGAAACAGTTCCTTACCCTTCCTCCACCGTAAGCTCAGAGATAAGAATAACGTAGGCAAGCTTCTGCCTCCTGAGCCCAGCACCTTGTAGAACCTTCTTGCCTGCCCAGTGATGATCCCCAAGGCTACACCTACTTCTCCTGCAGGTCAGGACAGCCCCCATCCGGGGCCAGCAGGCTGGTGGTACCTGAAGTCCCTGCCCGACCCCCCAGAGCTCTCCCCGGCTTGTCTCTGACCTGCACTGGAAGCGGGGATCCCCGGGGTGGCTCTGCAGCACCTGACGCACTTCTGGGGGAGGCTTTAGGCCCATCTGCTCTGCCCGATGCCAGCGCTGCAACCGTGTGATCCCTGTAGGAGTGGAAAGAAGACAGGCTTCGAGGGGGATAGGGAAAAGTCCAGGCTAGAGAGTATGTTTGGAGGGGTGTGTCAGGACCTGCATACCCCCTGTCTCAGGAGGCAGTGCCCAGAGGGTCAGGCAGGGGCTGGGGTTGCTTGGGAGATGTGTGGGTGGCAGGACTGGCTCCTGGATGTGCTCTCCGGCCTACGGGGCTCTCACCTGTGCAGGGCCCGTACTGCCAGGCCAGGTCAAACTGCCTCAGCAGCTCCAGCTCCGCTTCATCCACGCTCAGGGGTAGGGGCTCTTCCCCTGCAATGATATGCTGTTCCTCAGGCCTGCCCAGGCCTATGCCCTGCCGGGCTGGTCCCCTGCGCCTTGCCTCATATCTGACCCACTGTTCCCCAGCCCTCACCGCCCCTCTGCCTCTGCTGTCCACTGGTGTAGGAAGTAGGCCGGGTGTCGGAAGTAGAGGACATACTTCACTTCCCCTTCCACTTCCCACGTCCTTTCATGTCCCTCGCGTCCACTCCTCCCGCCCTCCCACATCTCAGAGACCTAGCTCTGGTGCCAACTCCCCCTTGCTGTGCCCAGCGGAGCCCTCCCTCCTCTTCACTACAGGGTAGGAGTCAGTGATGAGCCGTTTCCGGCCCATGGCGGCCACCCAGGCAGGCAGAGGCGGAGGCGACTGCCGGGAAGGAGAGGCAGGCCAGCGGGCACGAGAGAGACAGCTGCTGAGAGAGAGCGAGAGAGGGCTGGGGCCAGAGAGCGAGCCTGGGGCCAGCGATGGGCAGACGGACGACCCAGACGAACAGCAAGGAAGTCGGAAGGTTCCAGGGAATGACGCGTCTTCCCCACCCCCGCAAGCATGAGCGAAGAACTAAGCCAATGAGAGGCCGCCTCTGAGGGGCTGGGCCTGGTCCCAGCCAATGGCAGGCGGTGAAGGCAGGGGCGGGCAGTTGATGCAGCTGTGCTCCGGGGGTGGGAGGTGAGGCTGTTGGGGGGGGGGGGTGGGGACCTGTCACGATGCCCCAGACAGCACCACCTCCTCCGGCCACCCTCCACTGGTCTGCAGTGGGTCTCGGGGGACTTACAGAGCGTTATCCTTGGCCTCTCACTTCCCGTTTTCCCTTCCTAGGCAAATGTTCTTTTCAGCCTCACTAATCCCCGTGGCAGGTCTGTAACTCCCCAGAGCCCAGCCGGAGACTTCCACTCCCGCCCCTTGGCCCAAAGAGCGTTGTGGGGGCAGGTCTGGAGGTCCGGAGAGAGTTTGGGCTAATCCAGACCCCTTCCCTGCTCCCACCCCGCCCCCACGGGCCCCAGGAGACCTGGCTGGCTGGAGAAGCCCAGGGGTTCTAAAAGCTCCTTTCTCACAGTCTGCGCCCAGAGATACTGCTCACTCTTAGTCCAGGCGAGTGCTTGCCTCTTCAACTGTCCTGGGGTCCCACAGCCTGGCCCTGCCCGCCCTCTGTTCAGGAAGATTCCACACGGTGCAGGAGGTCAGAGTGTGTTTGGACCCCTAGTCCTGCGTCAGTAAAATCTGTCCCAGTGTGAGAGTATAAGCAGAAAATACCAACAATAAACGTAACACTTACACAGTGTGCCAAGTTCTGTCCTGAGCACTTTCCCACATATTCTCTCAACTAAAATAGACAGAAATGATTCTTGAAAGTAGGAAGTATTGAGGACTTCCTTGGCAGTCCAGTGGTTAGGACTCGGCGCTTACACTGCAGGGTGAACAGGTTCAATCCCTCTTCTGGGAATTAAGATCCCACAAGCATCCCAGTGCAGCCAAAATAAAATAACAGGCAGTAGGAAGTAGGAAGTCACAGGCATGGTGGGGCCCTGATGAAACCATTGTCCTTCTGTGTCCCCCAGGAGCTCACAGGCCAATAGGCAAGCAGACAGACACACAAATGGCAGTGCAAGGATAAAATTCCTAACAAACTAGAAGAGGAAGACAGGGTCAGAAATGAGTTGTACTGTGAGGCTGGCTTAGCACTGGAAGTCCTCCTGGAGGAGGTGGGCTGCAGTAAACAGTGTCTCTCAATTCTCCACCCATGACCTTTGTCCCTTGGGCTCCTGTCATCGCTGACTCACCCGTGTACCCGCCTCCTCCTCACCAACTTCCTGGCAGCAGGCAAAAGTGCTGGCCAGTGGGAGTCTGGGAATCAGTGCAGGGCCCGGCCCAGCACTAATCGCCCTCCACAGATCCCATCCGGTTCTTCCTCCCAGGGGCACAAGGACCTGCTCAGGGGCTTCTGCTTCCCCCTCTCCCACTGCTCTGGAGTCTGGGTGCTCTGTCTCAGGAGGAGTGTAGGCACAAGGGAGGAGAACAGTCCACCAAAGAGGAGGCGCAGGAGCAGGAACAGGCCGTGTCTGCAGGGGCCTCCTCCCGCCTGGCTCTCCCCATCTCTTCCTGGAGGAGAGGAGTGGAGGAGTGAGAGCTCCTGGGTGCACTGCGCGGAGCTGGAGGGCCCTTCCCTGCTTTATTGTTTGGACTGGGCCGGGTCTAATCCCCACATCTGCCTCCTGGACTAAGTGGGGCCTGCACGGAGGGAGACAGGGGCCCTGCTGTGGCGGGGAGGAAGACAGGGAGGCCCTCTCTACCAGGCGTGGGAAGGGCTTCGGCGTGGGGTCGTCAGGCAGGGCGCACTCCAGGGAGGGGTGGTGCTCGGGCTCAGCAGGTCTGACCACCCCTCCCCAGAGGGTGTGTCCGGAGGTGCTCGGCACCCACTTTCTGAGCCCACAAAGCCCTGAGGGAGTAGGGAGCCATGGGTGGGGCAGACCCCTCCTCATTCCCGGTCCCTCCCACCCCTGAAAGCTGATAGCCGTGGGGCCCTGCCACCGCCCAGGGAGCGTGAAATGGGGTATGCGGCTGGGCGGCCACAGCGGCTCCTACTGCTGCCTGAGCTAGTCCCCCTCCCCTCTGGCACCCTGGCTGGCTCCATGGGCACTGTCTGGGTCATCCCTGCCAGCTGCCCCCAGCCCTGTCTGGTCCAGGCCCTGCTAGCCTGCCCTACCCAGCCTGGAAGATGTCTCCCTTGGCCTTCGGCTTCTCCCAGTCCAGGTCACCAGTTCAAGTGCAGGCACCCTAGGATGGGCTTTCCGGCCTGGAGTTGAGCAAACTCTCCACAGGCAGCGTGACCCCCTCTCCTAGTCACACAGCAGTGGGCTCAAGCCCCAGGGCCTGAAGGAGTTGGCAGTCAGGGGTTTGGGGGCCATCCCTGTCCAGTTGGCATCCTTGCCCAACTTGGCATCTGGATTCCTAAGCTGTCAACTGGCAACTAGGCCAGACGTCTGCCTGCCTGTCCTCAGGTGTTTTCCTTCTTTGGTCCCCAACCCTGTCTGCCTCTTTGGCCCTTCCTTCCTAGAACCTCTATCCCTACTCAAGCAACCTCCTGGCCTAGCCCCAAAACTGCTGTCCTGGAGCCTGTTGCAGTTCAGGCTTCAGGCTGGAAGGCCAGACCAGAGGTCTGACTTTGGGGCTGAATTCTCTTTCAGGGAATTTCCTGAGACCCAGGTGTAGGTTCCTTGTCAACCCTGATCCCCAGAGGCTAGTGATGAGACTAGCAGGAATGACCTCTACACCTTGGCCTGGGAACACTCAAGGCCCTTGCCTCACGGCCAAGTCCAAAGTCTTGGGGGAACCCAACAGAAAAAGAGAGAAAAGACCTGGAATAGGATCCCAGCACCTTCCTGAGGGCTGAGGCCTGCCACTGACTGCTCTGAGGGGAAGGGGGATTAGGCCTGGCTTAGCTCAGACAATGTGGCAGGTTGGGGGGCCTCAGCACTGCACATGCACCCTAAGAGCCCCTTCCCTCCCCATCCCCAACAATGGGGCCTGCGGGGAGGGCCCATCAGAGCTCAGAAGGGGGGGCAGGTGGAGAGAGGGAAGCAGCTGCCTGGGGCCAGTGGGGCACAGCCGCTCTCCTTCCCTCTCCAGCACCCCCCTTCCTCAGGCCCTCAGGCCCTGCCACCCACCCTGAGCTGGAGATTCTGGGCACCAGACTCACAGCCCTGAGCCCCGTTTCCCACCCTGTGGGGCCAAAATTCTTTCAGGCAGCTCCTCCTGGTCCCTGCTGACCCTCTCAGACATCTTCCTTCCTCCCGCTCCAGGTTCTCTGGAGCCTCGTGGGCTTCAGGAGCCTGGGGGAAGGCAGAAGTTCCCCTGGGTCTGAGTTTCTGCCACTGGATGTCTCTTCCGTCCTGTCCCCACCAGCCCATCCAAACCTCCCTCCCATCACCTCCCATTTCACCTTGGCCTTCCCGGTGAAGTCCTAGGGAACTTTGAAAAGGGGCCCTTCTGGCCATTCCTCACCTTGGCCACCAGGTGTCAGACTTTGTCCAGCTGGGAGGAAGGTCCTCCTTCACGTCCATCCCATCAGCCTGGCCTTGTGGAGATGAGGGCCAGGTTGGGAGGGGGCCTAGAGGTGACCTCTGAACTAGGAAGGCTGAGAGACACTGAAGGCTGGGGAGAGGGCTGTAGGTCTGGTTCTAAAGCTCACAGTGACTCTCTCACTGCCCCCACCCCCACCCCCACCCCACTGACGAGGGCTTTGTCCACTGCTGGGAAACTGGGGAAACAGGCTGAGTCAGGGTGCTCAAGACTTGAAGGGACAAAGGCAGGGACAGTTGTGGCTCCAGAGAATAAGGGGGAGCTGAGAGGGAGCCGCCCGTCAGAGCGCTCAGCCAGGCCGGGATCATCGCCCTTGCCCTCTAGGTTAAGAGGAACAAGGGCCTCCCTTGGCCCCCTCCACTGTGGCAAGTGGGTGAAGAATATGTGTTTGTGTGAGAGCGGGTGCGTGAATGAGTCTCCCCACATACCAAGGGGGACCGAAGTCCTAGATATGGGTCAGCCTTTGCAAAAGCAGGAAGCTGGCAAAGCATGACTACCCTCCTGCTAACTCCCAGCAGAGTCTACTATACCTGCTCCCCCACCCCGAACATTGCCTCATCCAAGTCACAGTTCTCCATCTGGTAGACATCCTCTCAAACACAGGTGTGTTCACAGGCACCCAAGATGGGGGTGAGATTTCTTCTTCATGTGCTGTTGGGGGTGGGGGGTGACAGGGAAGAGGGCCTTCTCTCCTTCCCTCCCACCTTCCCTAGCCTTCCTAGGGATAGAAGGAGGTCTAGAGGTAATGCCCTCCCCCCCACCCCACCCCGTGGTGACTGCAGGGCCCTGTGTTTCAGGTTCTTAAATTGACCTCTGCCTCCCTGGGCCTCTGCCTATCAGTTCAGTTCAGTCGCTCAGTTGTGTCCGACTCTTTGTGACCCCATGGACTGCAGCACACCATGCTTCCCTGTCCATCACCAACTCAACTCATGAGTTTACTCAAACTCATGTCACTTGAGTCGGTGATGCCATCCAACCATCTCATCCTCTGTCGTCCCCTTCTCCCGCCTTCAATCTTTCCCAGCATCAAGGTCTTTTACAGTGAGTCAGTTCTTCGTATCAGGTGGCCAAAGTATTGGAGTTTCAGCTTCAGCATCAGTCCTTCCAATGAATATTCAGGACTGATCTCCTTTAGGATGGATTGGTTGGATCTCCTTGCAGTCCAAGAGACTCTCAAGAGTCTTCTCCAACACCACAGTTCGAAAGCATCTATTTGGCACTCAGCTTTTTTATGGTCCAACTCTCACATCCATACATGACCACTGGAAAAACCATAGCTTTGACTAGACGGACCTTTGTTGGCCAAGTAATGTCTCTACTTTTTAATATGCTGTCTAGGTTGGTCATAACTTTTCTTCCAAGGAGCAAGTATCTTTTAATTTCATGGCTGCAGTCACCATCTGCAGTGACTTTGGAGCCCGAAAAAATTAAGCCTGTCACTGTTTCCACTGTTCCCCGCTCTGGCTATAAGATCATACTTAAGAGGTGGAACATGAGATAACCAACGACGCTAACTAATGAAGGTAACCAGTGAAAATTCATCACCTCTCCTGAAGCAACTGTGCATGGAGAACCCATGACAAACCCATTCACAGAAAAGCCTGATGAACTGTGGTTTGTCAGGAGCTGCCTGCCCATGGTCCACAGGGCCAAACCCGAAGGAAAGACAGCCCTGTCATAGTAAGGAACTATTTCGGGGAAAATGCCCTTTCCGGCTGGGTTCTCCTGTGTCCACTGCCTGCCCCCTGCCACCATTTCCCTCTGCTCCCTGCCCAGCACCCCTGCACACAACTCACCAGCTCACAGCCACTCAACATGCACTCTCTAGCCCTCTAGAGCCTCTCACCCCTTGATTCTCTGCCATTCCTGCCTTGCCAGTTCTCAGCCTTGGGAAATAGCCTCTCTTCACTCTGTCCGCCCCCTCTGGCCACCTCTGGCTCGCTAGGAAATGTCAGAGAATGTCACAATCCTTCCGATGAGTCCACAGCAGAGAAGTGTTGGCTGACGTAACTGTTGCCCCAGCAGACCTTTTGACTCTCCCCTGCCTGTCCCTGATTCCATCCCCCAAACCTCTCAGTCCTTCTCCCCCACCACCCCCCACACAGCAACAACATGTCCTGACCTCTTGCAGGTAAAAACACCCACAGCAAACCACCCAAGCAAAACACCTCCCGTGATCCTGCCGCTCGCTCTAGATATTCCCTGTGCCACTAAACTCCGGAGGGAATAGGTTTATTCTTCCATCTTCCTTCTTACCACCTCCTTCTTTAATCTCACAATTCAGTGTCTCAACTGCTCTTGCAAAGGTGGCCTATGACTCCCTGGTGACCAAAGCCAGTGCAGTTTCTCCCCACATCTCCTCTCCAATCTCCTGGGGCTGCCTCCTTGAAATGCTCTTCTCTTGGCTTTTCACGTACTGTTGTCTTGACGCTCTTCAAATCGGATCATCAAGTACTTTATCATTGTGGGAAAATGCTTCAAGCATACAACAGTGAATACACGGTGGAGCCTGCCCTCAAGATACTACCTGGTTAAAAAGGAGGTGGACACAACCAGCCCTGGTCCTGCCCACCCTCCAGGAACAGTGTCAAATCCCCCTCAGGAGCACCCACTGTGTCCTGGGTGCTGGGAATACTACAGGGACTGCAGACCCCACTTCCTCCCCAGTGGAGCTCGCAGACCAGCAGGGCCCTTGCCCGCCTGGATGCCATCACTCCTTCCTTCAAATAGTATTTCGCCTGCGTCTTTCTGCACTTAATCAAATTCTGCCTTGGATTCTAGCATTTGGCAGAGGGTGGGGATGGGGCGGGGGCTGGTCCCTTTTCCTGGATCGTTTTGTTCCACACGCTAACTGAACACCTTTGGGCTTGAGCTTGAGCCTGAGCTGTGTGCTGGAGAGGGAATTGGGGAAGACTCGGAATCTGCCCCCAGGAAGCACACAGTAGGAGGGAAGCACCTTCCTTCAGCCTGCATCCTGTTTAGCCCCTTGCCTGGTGTCTCACAGAACAACCTCTGCATGGAGACAGCCCAGAGGCCCTTTTCTTTCTATCTCCTTAGGCTGGCGGGTGGTGGGACCTGCAGGTGTCCCTGGTCATGCCTGGACCCCTCAGGGTGGGTGTGTCCTCCCCACTTGGGTCAGGTGATTCAGGGACCTTTGACAGCGCCGGCTCTCCCCTCCCACAAGCAGGTTCATGGCTCCTGCACCTGTACTCCCAGATATCCTGCTTCCGGTGACTCTGCACTTGTCACCACCTCCAGGGTCTATCTGCAAGAGCAGGCTTCTGTGCTTTTGTTCCTTATGGGTTCAGGTGAGCCCAGTTTCTTCCCAGAGAGATTGCAGGCTCTATAAGGGCAGCAGCCGAGTCAGGTCCTGGCCTCCTTTTGGCGTTCCCACACCAGTTAACACAGTGATGGGCAGGTAATTAGGTCTTCAAAATATCTGTCAACTGGTTGACATCACCCTCATTGTTACTCCCTTTGTTTAGGGCACTGTCTGCAAGAGGCCCTGGTAAAATATCCCCGTATTACCTGGGAACAATTAGCCCATTGATCCACCCAGCGGCTCTTCACCAGAGTATCCTGATATGCTGACCTCAGTCATCTGTGACTATGGATCGTTGGTGCCTCAGCTAGGCATCTTACCTTCATTGTGTCTCATCCCTTCCAACATTCTTATAAGGGTGTTAATTTTACCCATTTTACAGATGGGGAAACTGGACAATAGACAGCTTTAAATCGTTTGTCCAAGGTCACCCAGCTGGTAGGTTATGGACCTGGAATTTGAGCTTAGGTCATCCTCGATTGGGGCTTCCCAGGTGGCTCAATGGTAAAGAATCTGTCTGCCAAGCAGGTGACGAGGCTTCGATTCCTGAGTTGGGAAGATCCCCTAGAGAAGGTAGTGGCAACCCTCTCCAGTATTCTTGCCTGAAAAATCCCATGGAGAGAGGAGCATGGCAGGCTACAGTCCATAGGGTTGAAAGAGCCAGATATGACTGAACAACTAAACGACAACAACATCCTTGAACAGCATCTGTCTTATTTGCTTGCATTGCAGTGTGAGTTGTTCTCTGTCCTCTATTAATTTTATGTTGAAGAGCAAAGTGTAGAATCACAGCTGAGGCTTGTGACTTGGCCTCAGTCTGTCGCGCTTCCTGGGGGATGAAAAGTATCTAGAAGGTGAGGGTTACTGCAGGGGGGCTCGGACAGGCAGCCACAGGTGGGGGTCCTGGGGAAGCTGAGGGACCTGGAGAGAGTGCCAGAGGGCAGATAGACAGCTTTGCACAGGGACAGACCTATGGGACCACTAACGCGATCCAGGGGAGTGAGGTGAGCAAAGGGAGCAAAGGCCGGGAGGAGGAAGGGAAGCGACAGAGGGGAAGATACTTGGGAGGACTGCTTGGACAGCAAGGAGATTAAACCAGTCCATCCTAAAGGAAATCAACCCTGAATACTCATTGGAAGGACAGATGCTGAAGCTGAAGCTCCAGTACTTTGGCCACCTGATTCGAAGGACCAACTCACTGGAAAAGACCCTGATGCTGGGAAAGACTGCAAGCAAAAGGAAAAGGGCGTGAAAGAGGATGAGATGGTTGAGTCCACTGACTCAATGGGCGTGAGTCTTGAGCAAACTCAGGGAGATGGTGAAGGACAGGGAAGCCTGGCCTGCTGCAGTCCACGGGGTCACAGAGTCAGACACGACTGAGGGACTAAACAATAAGAGAAGAGGGTGGGTGAGAGGCAGGAGCGTCTTCCCGGTGGACCCAAGGGAGAGAGCCTCTTCCCCGGCTCTTGGCATCTCCTGGGCTAACCCTTGGGCTTGTGACCCTCCATCAGCAGGTGTGGGAGCCTAGGGCTGGGGATGGGCAGAGGGAAAGCCAGAAGAACATGGATGAGAGCCAGGGGTGGGGCACGGTCAAGCAAGAGATGACGTTCTGGGGCAAGCATTTTATTTGTTAATACAAGAATAGAAATTCTGCAATAAATATCATCTAATAAATAACATCTCCAAATAAATAAATATTAATACAACAAACTTAAAAGAGTCATGAGTTGGGTGGGGCTGGGGGGCAGGGCCTAGGGGAGCTGCCCCCGTACCCCAAAATGCTACCGCAATGTAAACTTTCAGGAAATCCTGTGGCTGTGGCTGTGGCTGCCCTCCCCAGCCTGGGCAACCCACAGATACCCTGGGAAAGGGGGCAGAGGGGAGGCGCCCTGAAGCTGGCAAGAAAATTCAAGGCGGTGTCCTTTTGGATGACACCCTGTGCCACGGATCGCCTTGGTGGCCCCTGGGTCCAGTCTGTCCCTGCCCCTCTGCTTTCAGTATTACCTCCATTGCAGACCCCATCTTTTCCATTTTTCATCACATCTCTTGCATCTGGACTTGGCCACTGTGTGTTTCCTGAACTGGATGTATTGAGTTGTTTGAGGGGTGGGGGAGCAACACCCATCTAAGGAGAGCAGGGCAGCCAAAGGCTTTCACCCCAGAAAGGCACATGTGATGGTGCCCCCCTGTCCCTGCCCTACAGGCATGCTTCCTGGAAGTGCCACTTGAGGGGCTGGGTGGGTGCTGGCAAGTGGTGGGCAGGAAGCGGGAAGCTCCAAGAGCCTCACACCGACTGCAGCCACTCTGGGTGCCCTTGGGCATGATGTCCTCTGGAAATGGGATGGGGCCTATTGCACCTCTTCCTCAGACCCGTAGGACTTAGGGAGGCCAGGAGGGGATGGGCCTTATTGCATCACACCCTCCTCCAAGTCCAGGGAGGCTAGAGGCTCACGGCTTCTGTCTCCTGGCTCAAGAAGTGTTGGTGTACACGTTTCTCCCTCCTAGAGTGGGAGCAGGGCTGGAAGGAGGAGGGGGAGGAGAGGGTGGTCAGAGATCAGAAGCCACGGGCCTCCAGGTGCAGGGTGACCGCGGTGGCCGGAGGCTGCATCTTCTTCTTGAGTCGGTTGAAGTCCTTGGCCGAGCGCCAGAGCCAGGTCTGCAGCTCCTTCAACAGCCAGAAGTCATCCATCTTCTGGAGGAAGTCACTGTGGGCAGGGCCAGGGGCCCAGGTGGGCTCAGTCCCGGGCAGAGGCTGGGGCAGCGGGTAGCCCAGAGCTGCCATGACGCCCGCGATGCTGCCCAGCAGGCCCTGGAGGCTGGTGCAGAAGTGGGCCAGGCTGCGGCGCAGCTCGGCCGTGGCGGCCTGGCGGTTGAGGCCCCGCAGGTAGCACAGGAGGTGGCTGTAGGCCTCGTAGTTCTGGGTCAGCCGCAGTTTGTCGTTGAGGCTTCGCCACACCTCCAGGTTGACAGTGGCCTTGGGCAGAGTCTCCACCCCCAGCCGAGGGGGGTTGAAGTCAGGCTCGTTGAAAGGGGGGCCCAGGTAGTTCAGCTGTGAAAAGGAGAGGACGATGGGGAAGGAGGGGGGCGGAGGAGCCTGCTGGCCTGCTGGGAGATGCTCGCCCCCAAAGTTTCTATTTCCTGCGTCCCCTGACACTGGCCCCGTCTCCATGCTAGGCATCCCCTAAGTTTCTCCAGGGATGTCATGGGCATGGAGGTGACAGCTGAAGCAACGAGGGCGATGAGCTCCCCTATGGAGAAGTGCAGAAAGAGAAGAACACGCAGGAGAAACTCAGGAAGGATGCGCTGACGGGCTGAGAGCACACGCCTTGGGAGAGCGCCCGCGGGGCGGGGCAGGGCGGAAGAGGAGCCCTGAGGACCCAGGAGGCCAGGCCACAGAGGTGAAGGTGGACCAGGGAGTCCAGAGCCAAGCAGAGGAGCTCGAGAGGGCAGCAGGGCTCAGCAGCAGGGCTGCAAGACAGAGAGCGAGGAAGTGAGTCCCAGGAACACCGCCGGGCTCGGCAGCAGCGAGGTGCCTGACGACCGTGCAGAGAGCCGCCCCAGTGGCCCGGAACCGGGCTGCAGGGGTTAAGGCCTGAGTGGGCGGAGAGGAAGTGGAGGCAGAGGGTGTAGACCACTCCTTCAGGAACTCTGGCAGGGAAAGCCCGGGGAAGAAAAAGGGTCGGGAGCTGGAGCGGGCAGCAGAGTCAAACAGAGGTTTCCTGGACGGGAAGGCAGAGGGCCCGGGAGCACCCAAGCTACGCCTGCCCCTGACGAGCCTGGGCCACTCGTTGGAGGGCAGGGGCCACGGTCCTCGCTGAGGCCCCCCCCCCCAGAGAAGGGCTCAGAGGCGCAGGGCTGCCGGAGGCAGAAACGGGCCATCTCAAGAGCTGGGCAGGACGAAGGGTATGAAGAGAGTCTAGGGAAGAGGACAGAGCCTTGCCAACCCTCAGGGGAGAGGCCTGGGGCCCAGGGAGAGGGCGAGGGAGCCGGCTCAGCTGGGAGAGAGAGGGAGAAGCAAGAGGCGAGGCCTGGGATAGGCAAGGGCCCAGGGGGGAGGTTCACACGCTGACAAGCTCAGAGACAAACTAATTTCCTCGGTGTATCCTGGGGCTGGAGCCAGCTCCCCCGTCACCCTCCTCCCCCTGCTTTCCCTGGCTCCAGAGTAGGGTCTGGGATGTGGAAGAGGAACACGGGAAGAGGGGCCAGTTCCCCACGGTCCTCGGCAACCCCGACCCTCCTCCCTTCTCTCCTGGGCTCTCTGAGCACCTCCGGACCACACCCAGATCCTTATGGCATAGCTTCCATCCGCACCCCAAGCCCCCCTGACACTCCTGGACGGGGTTCCCTACAGCCCCCTTTTCTCCCCAGGTCCCCCTTAGGAGGCCCAACTAGGATGGGAGAGGCAGACAGAAGGGAGGCCCATGGGTCCGGAGCAGCAGGGCCCCAGGTCTGGGGCAGAGACGAGCTGGAACACAGGCATGGGGGGTGGGGCCCTCCAGCCCCACCCAGCCCCACCCGGGCGAGAAACACCACAACACGGTGTAAACAGAGGAGACTTCCCCGGCCCTCAGGGGGAGGCGGGTGGCTGGGCCGGCAGCCAGTGCGGCAGCGGGCCAAGGCGGGTGCGAGGCCTGCCCACATGCCTAGTCCTGGGGCCAGGGATGGGGAGGAGGGGGCACCTTCGCCAAGAGGGAGGGCAGGAGATGGGCCAGCCAGGGGGACTGCTGGGAGCCCAAGCCCCTGCCCATCACCCCGTCATTTACCAGGACCCCCGCTCTCTTGGTGTTCTCTCTTCCCCCATCCCCGTTCGCCACCCAACTGCCAGCCCATGAGCGGCCCGGATACTCACATAGGTCCCAGCCAAGCTGCGGAGCTGGTGCTCCAGGTAGCGGGTGAGGTCATAGGTTTTCTGGATGGAGGGGCCGGGCCCCGGGTCTCCTGTGCGATTGAGGGCTGGCACCGCAGGGACCTGCCAGAGAACGGTGCACAGGCACGCGAGCATCCCCCACGAGTCCCCTGTGGGTAGGACAGGGAGGAGCGTGAGGGCGGCCCGGCCCAGGAGGCAGCTGGCAGCCCCTCAGGTGTCTCTCCCCACCTTGGGCGGGAGCGGGGCAAGGGTGGGACACCAGGTGGGAGCAGGCGGAATGGAGGAGGGGCGCTTCCCGGCCTGAGAGAGTGTGCTCATGGAGGCATATTTATGTTTGAGGACGAGGACTTGGCCTGTGTGTCTACCAGGAGGTACCGGAGAGCATCTGTGTGTCAGCTAAGAGTAGCCGTGTGTGTGGTGTTCGTGTGTGTGTGTGCGCGCGCGTACGTGGGGGGACAGGCCAAGGGATGTGAATCAGAATCAGTATTCCCGGGGTTCCAGCGGTACCTTGGCTTTCTCTCCCACCCTCTGCAGCTTAGGGGGAGCCCAGGGGTTGGGAAACAGCACGTGTCAGAGATTCAAGTTGAGAGAAGTCAGCCCTGAGAGGGACTCGCAAGAGGCAACCACAAGTGGGAGTCAAGCCAGAGGCAGGACGCAAGGTCAGACCACCAGGGTCAGAGGCAAGGTGTAGCTGTGGACACCAGGGCCGGGCGGGCTGAAGGACATGGGACTGGCTCAGGTGGGTGGTACATTCCGGGATTTGATTCCGGCGCGTGGAAAGTGGAGGGTCGAGTTAGACTGAAGGAAATGTGGTGTTTGCTCTGAGAGGCTGGCTGCAGTGAGATTTGCCCCATGCTCCTCTAGGGTATCAGATGGGGGAATAGACCTGAATGAGACCTGGGGATCGGTCTGCCGTGAAGACAGGGCGGGGGTGGGGCAGAGACAGCATGTGATGTATTTGATGAGTCCCGCTTGTCCGCTGAGGAGAAGGCAATAGCACCCTACTCCAGTACTCTTGCCTAGAAAATCCCATGGATGGAGGAGCCTGGTAGGCTGCAGTCCATGGGGTCGCTAAGAGTCGGACACGACTGAAGCGACTTAGCAGCAGCAGCTTGTCCACTGATGGTGCTGAAGAATTTGGGCCCCGAGGATATCAGAGGCCAGGGGTCAGAGCTGTGAGGACAGACTCGACCGTTGGGAAACATGATGTTCCCAGGTTTTAGGTGAGGTTCAAGGTCAAGAGCACTAGACCAGGATTCAGTGGGCCTTGGGACTGGCAGTGGCAATGAGGGTTAGGAGAGAGTAAGGCTGTAATTGGCACTGGGCTAGATTAGGTTTAAGGACTGGGTTCCTTTTAAAGTTTCAGGTTAGTTTATTGGGATCTGGCTGACTGAGTGTGGTTGAGGTTTGAGTCCAGCTGGGGGATGTGGTTGGGTTTGGGCAGGCAGAGGGTTGGCTAGGGCTGACGTTTGTGCATTTGTTGATGTAGCTGTCTGATGGGGTGATATATGGCATGTCACTCAGTAGGGCCAGTTTGGGTTTTGAGCTTGGGGAGCTGTGAGGTTGACAGTGGTTTCCTTCTTTTAGTTTCGATTATATCCTGTCAAGTTTTCTACAATGATATATGTTGCTTTGACAGAAATAAGTTGGACACAGGTTTAACAAGTTGATTGTACTTAGAGTTATGGTAAGTGTGGAGTTAGGAAGAATTAAGACCAGGTTGGTTTAGACTTAGTCATATGCTGGGTCAGGGGTTTAGAGAGGGTTGCAGCCTGGGAGAGCTTAGGATTCACACGGTCTGGAAGGTCTCTGTGGAGGGCAGGGCTCAGCTGGGACCTTCCGCAGTGGCCCGCTGGTCGGTCTGGCTCTTTCAGATGCATTGGCACCGGCTGCACTGATGGAGTGTGGTAACAGCGTGCCTCTAGTCTCAGGGATTCTGCTGTCTTGAGTGAAGGGCTCTTGTTTGAGAATATGTGTGTGTGTGCATGCACGCACGCATGCACACACGTGCTCCACCCATGTGTGTTTTAGGACAGAAGGCAGGGCCAGACCCATAACTGCTGCCTGGGGTGACAGGCTCCCCTTTTCCTCTTCTCCATCTGTAGCCTGTGGCTTCCCTCCCAAATGGTCCTCTCCTCATCCTTCCTTTCCACTCCTAGCTCTTGCTGACTCTAAGTTCCCTTCTTTCTCCTCCCCCCCCCCTCTTTTTTTGGCTGCGCTGAGCAGCACTGGGGGTATCTTAGTTCCCTAAGCAGGGATCAAACCCATCCATGCCCCCTGCAGTACACGCGTTGAGTCTTAACCACTGGACCACCAGGGGAGTCCCCTGAGTTCCTTTCTATTCCCTGTCCTTCACATCCCCAGACAACTCCAGGCCCTTCTCCTCTGCTGCCCTGCCCTCAGCCGCTGTCTGGCTGAGTGCCCAGGATCCTATGGGCACAGTGAGGGGTCAGTTTCAGGGGCTGGAGACCTGCTGAGCAGGGAGCGGCCCTTCTGGGACTAAGTCCGGTCTCCTCCTCAGTCAGTGATGACGCCGAGGGTCCCAGCAGAATCTGCAGTGAGGAGCTAGGCTCGGCTCTTTACCCCATGCTGCTCTGGGCAGCCCTGCCAGCCAGGGTTCGAGGACTGGCTCTGCCTGGCCCGCAGAGGGTGGGGGTTGGGGGTTAGGAACCCAGTTCTGGGCCTTGTTCTTCCCTCCCTGTCTGGGCCCTGTGGGACATCCCTGGGGAGGATTGGCTCCCTACACAGGGACGGCACAGGGAGAAGCCTCTGGAAAAACAAGAGCGAAGTCATCTGGGCAGAAAAACGGCTCATGAAATTAACCAGACAAGGCCGGTGTTTCCAGGAATATTTCAGTTCTGAGGTAACTGTGTCACTGAAGGCTGGGGGGTGGGGGGGTGGGGGGAGAGAGCTGAAGGATCTGAGGGATCAAGAGGGAAGGAGCCTCAGAAATCCAGAGGAAGAAGAGGCAGGAGGGGAGTAGAAGGCCAAAGGGCTCTCCTCTCTGTCGGGATGGCCGCTGCTCTGGGCAAGATGTCCCACCTCTCAGGCAGCAAAACTGAGAGCTGTCTGGGCAGAGAACACCTGTGGTTTAGTCGTGGGCCCTGGAACTCTTGCCTGTGTCCCTAGGAGGGCAAGTGCTGGGGGCACCCTGGAGTCCTCACACTCCCCCTCCTCTGCAGGCCCAGGGTGTGCAGGTGGGCCGGCCAATGGGGGGCTGTGTCCTGGGCCCCCTCCCCCAGCCCTGGCCCCCAGCCCGGCCCCCGCCCCAACTCTGCCTCTGGCTGCTGCCCACTGATTGTTTACATCCCGTCTTCCCCTGTGTTTATAAATCCGGCTGAGCACGTGAGGAGCTAATGAGAGCAGCTCACATTTCCTGCTGCGGGGGCCCCCAGCCACCCCCCCATCCTGGCCCCCGCCCCGGCCAGCCCCTAATTCCATCCAGATCCCTGGGCCCTGGGAACCAAGGCCCCCCTCATGAACACACACACACACACACACACACACACACACACTCAGCCCACGCACGCGCATGGCCACCCTGACATGGCTGCACAGGCAGGCAGACCACATGGACACATGTCTCTAGGCAGCTGCCCCCCTCAGCCCGTCTCCCCCAGTCTGACCTCAGTCGGGAAAGATAGGGGGCTCAGCAGTGCACACAAGCCAGGGCAGTCATGGTGGGGAGGACTGGTCAGCCAGGAGACTCTGCGCCTTGGACTGGTGGCTCAGAGCCGTCAGCCCGACAGGTTGGAGCTGGGAGGCGCTGCCCAGAGGCGCTGGGCTGAGGGTTCAAGCAAGAGTGAAGGCCCTGCCTTGAGGCCAGGCCAGGCTCAGCACCCTGGTGACCTCGGAGGGTGGTGGGGGAGCACCACGGGAACGCAGCCACTGAAGGGGTGCTGGATCCACGGTGGTGAGAGAGTCAGGGGACAGCTCTGGGGGTCACCCCCAGCCCCGATCTCAGAGAAAGGCCCAAAGGAACAGCCCAGCTTTCCTGGTCTTCTGGGCTGGCTGCACCTCCCCTGTCTTCCTTCTCTCTCTTCCATCCTCTCCTTGGTTCCCTATCCCCTAGGCAACTGAGAAGAGGCTTAGGGAGTGGGTAAAGGGTGGGCCCAAAGTCAGGAGACCTCTCTGTCACCAGCCCATCCAGTGGCTGGGCTTGTGTGATGGCGTCCCACTGTGCAGCTAAATTTCAAACCACCTGGCCCTCCAGCTCTGCTGTCCTCTTCAGCAGACCCCTCCCTGCCCTTCTCTTCCAGCCTAAATAACAAGGAGAAACTGAGGCCCAGGGAAAGCAGCAGATGGGCTGCCACCTCCCAGCCTTGAGGAGTGTGTTCCCACCCCAGGAGCTGGGCTTTTGTTGGGGTTGAGGGTCGGGGTTGTGCCACAAGAGGACCCTGGGTGGGGCCGGGCAGAAAGCAGGCATGGGGGTGCGGAGGGGTGTGTGGGGGGGGTAGCGCAAAATGAAGGTAATAGTCCAGCAGTGGTGCGGGTGTGCTTGAAAGGGTGCTGTTATCCAGAGAGTGCGGGAGGGGCTCGGAGACCGCGCAGGAGCCAGAGTGTGAGCAGACAGGTGGGATTGTGGGGAGGAATGTGAAGTGTCACTAACAGAGTAGCTAGTGCCGAGGGGGGTGTGCAAAAGTGTGACCGGCCCGCGCAGGGCTCTGCCAGGGGGAAAGGGAGCAATTACATCGGCTGGGGGCGGGGGGGGGGGAGACCTCGGGGCTGCTGCGGCGGGACAGTTGCTGCCACCGCTGCCTGCTGCCTCTTTCCTCCCCCGGTTCTCCAGGGCAGCGAGCGTGTCTGAGCCAGTGGGGGCACCGGGTCTGCTCTGTCGGGGTCGGGGGCGGTGTATCCCCGTGTCCCGCGGGAAGGGCAGACGTGTGCTCCCGCAGCCGGAGAGGGGCTCCGTGGGGACAGGGAAAGCACAGAGGTGTCAGCCCGGAGGGGTCAGGGTCAGAGACCGCCCAACCGAGGAGCGCGTCCAGTGGTCCCCCGCCCCCCACAGCCGCTCTCCGAGGCTCCGACCGCGCCGGCCAAGCCGGACCTCCAGCCGCCCCTCCCCTCCCGGCAGCCCCCTCCTACCCCAGCGGGGCGGGCCGGGCCGGGCGCTGGAGGAAGCGGGGACGCGTCCTCTGGGAGGTGGGAGTCTGGGGAGGGCATCTGGAGCGCAGAGCAGAGTCGCTGGGAAGGAAGGTGGGGAGAGCCGGGATGAGGGGACTCTGGCGATGCCCGAGGCCTGGGGGTTCCCTCGAGGGGCTCGGCCCGCTCGCCGGCCCTCCCCCCTCGGCGGTGACCTCTCGCTCCCGGCCCCCTCCCTGCGGCGGCGGCGGCGGCGCCTTCCCCCTGTGTGGCCCCGGCGCCCCCGGCCCCGCCCCCGGCCCGCTCCCGCCCGGTCGCTCCCTTCCCGGCGGCGGGGGCGGGGGCGGGGTCCGGGGGCGCCGGGGCTCCGGGCTCGGCCGGGCCGCTGCCCTTTCCCGCGCCGTCCACTCCCTGCCCGCCCTCCCGCGGGCCGCCGCTCCCCGGCCGGTGACAGACTTTGCTGCCCGGTCCGGCCGGGCTGCGCCCGCCACCGGCCCCCCCCCCCCAACCCCGCCACGCCCGCCCGCCCGCACTAATCACTCCCAGGCCACGGCGGGCCGGCCCGGGGGGCTCGCGGCCGCCGCCCGGCCCCTACCTGCCGCCGGCTCGCCCGCCACAGGCAGCATGGTGGGCTCCGGCCGCGCGGCGCGCAGCGAGGAAGCCGCGACTCCCGCGGCCCGGCCCGGACCAGCCCGGCGCGGCTCTGCCCTCCGCCCTCCTTTCTCCGCTCGCCCGCCCTCCTTCCCGCCCTCCCCTTCCTCCCCTCCCGGCGGGCCGGGGAGGGAGAGCGGCGCGGCCCGAGGTGTCGGCCTCCCCTCGCCTCCCGCCGGCCCGGCCGCGGGCTCCCCCGAGCCCCCCTCCCTCCCGCCCGCTTCCTCTCCCGGCCCCCTCCTCCTCCGCGCGCGCCGTCTCCTCCCGCAGACCCGCTCCCTCCTCGGACTCGCTCTCCCGACTTTGGCGCGGGGCTCGGTCCTCTGGGGTCTCGGGACCCCGCCTCGCCGGGCTCCAGGTGGCCGCCTCCCAGGTCTGCGGGTCTCCCGGGCCGCCCGCCGCGCTCCGGCCACCTCCCGGCCCCGCCGAGCGGACTCCAGGAATGCCGCGTCCCCGCCCGGCCCCTCTCGAGGGCGCCCGGCCGTGCCCCCCCGCCCCGGCCCGAGCCCCGCGGGCGGGGGCAGCGCCCGGCTCCCCAGCCCGGCCCCGGCTCGGGACTCCCCGGGGGAAGGACGGGAACCGGATCTGGCGGCTCCCGGGCGGGGGCCGGGGCCTCGGACGCCTGGCTCCTACCTGCTCGGAGGTCCATGGGGCTGGGGGCCGGGCGGGCCGGGCGCGGCTCCTCTCCCGGAGGCTGGCGGAGTGGGAGGGCGAGCCGCGGCTCCGGCGAAGCTTTAATAATCCCATCCGCCAGGCCCACTCGCAGGTTTTTTTCGCTCGGTTTCGGATTTTTTTTTTTTTTTCGGTGTGGGACATTCTGCAAACTTTTTTTTTTCTGACGTGTAAAGCTGTAACCACAAATTGTAGCGGCCCTCCCCGGGGTGGGGGGAGGAGGGGGGAGGAGGGAAGGGAGGGCTTCTGGGGCTCCTCTCCCTCCCACAACACCGGGGGGGGTGAGGTGAGGCGAGGCTGCGGCGGTACCACCCCGGGCCTCCTGGGGGAGGGGGCGGGAGGGCATCCGTCCGGCGGCAAACTCCCCAGAGGCAGGGGAGTGAGCTGGCCGCCCGTTTTCTTCTCCCTGGGTGTCGGCCTGGGGCGCCGGCCCCGGCCCGGCGGGGTCCGGCTCTCACCCTACCTCTGCCTCAGCATCTCTAACCTCCCCACCCCTCCGTCCCCCCTCCCACCCCGAGTAAACGCAATGACACATTCTCCCAAATGCCAGCGAGCTGGCTTCGAAGCAAGTGATGGTGTTTTTCCTGCTGCCCTTTGTCTGGGCTGACCGCCCCCCTTGCCTATTGTCCCGCCGCCTGTCCCATTTCCAAACGCCGAGGCCGAGCGAGGCGCTCGGGCTGGGGCAGGTGACTAACCGGCTCACAATGCCCGCCCCCCGGGGGGGCGGGCAGAGGGCACCGCAGGCCCACTGCCCAGTGCGGAGGGAAGAAGAGGGCACTTGGCAGAGGGCTCTTCCCTCCAGTTCACAGGGTTCTTCATTCTTCCTGCCCCTGGCCAGGCGAGTGCTCATGGGTGGGGGACTCGTAATTCATTAATCAGCACGAGGCACCGGACCAGTTTCAACACCAGAGGTTTCAGGGGTGACTCAGCGAGACCTTTCGGGTGCAAGGCGATGGAGAGACCCAGAGTCCCCACTTGTGACATGCTTCCCCATGAAGACTCTGCTTTCTCCTGCCTTTGGGGTTGGGGCTGTGGGCTCTCCGGGTGGTGGGGTAGGGGTGGCTGGGCTGTGGAGTGCTCTCTGTCCGCCCTTCCCTCGGGACTGGCCAGGGACTCGTCAGGTGGGATCCCTAAGGGACCCATAAGCCCAGACCCTCCCTGGAGGGTCTGCCTCTCTCCCCACACAGAGGACTCCAAGGAGACTGCAGGGGAAACGCTCCCATCCGGGGGCGTGCAGACATCCCCACTCCACGACTTTTCTTTGGTCATTTGTCTCCAAGGCTTGAGTGCTCTAGAGCCAGACCAGCAATTAAATCACTTGGCAGTAAGTTGCTTTTGTTGTGGTCTATTTGCCGCCTGGAGGAGAGAGAGGTGGTGGTGGGCCAGACCTGCACGAGGACTCCTCTCAGAACAGCATCAGAGCCTGCGCCCCACCACGCCCGCCCTGGTGCCCCCAGAGAAAGGAGGGTGCCCTGCCGGTCCTGCCCTCACCCCTCGAGGCGGGTCAGAGGAAGAGGCATGGTCCTGCCCAGAGCGGGGCTCCCAGGGCAGCTCTTCCCTTTTCTGCTCTTCCAGAACTGAGGTGGGGGGGGGGGGTGGGGGGGTGGGGAAGAAGTTTGTTTTCAATTACCTCACTGGAGTGGGACAGACTTTGTTGTTGGGTTTTTTCTTTTTTTTTCCCCCTCTTCTTTCTTTTTTTTTTCCGCCCTAAAGGAGGAGAAAAAGAGCTGGGAAAGGGGAGATGGCCTGCGGTGGGGGGCAGGGGCTTTTTTTGGGAGTCAGGAGCAGCTCTGATGAAACCTGCCTTGGGGGGGACCCTTGGAGAAGTGCTCAGGGGGGCCTCCTCCCGCCCCTCCCCCAGCCAGAGTGCTGGAGTTTCAATGACATTCTTGGCCAGCGAGCCGAGGATCTTTTGATGCCCGTGCCAAGGTCAAGGAGGCAGATGCCCAGTGGGTGACGGGCACTGAGGCTGGCCAGGAGGTCTCCTAGCAGCTACTCTTTTGGAGGGAGGAGGGCGGGGGAGGAGAAGAGGGGAGCCGCTCAAGCCCTTCTCCCCGGGTTTGCAGCCTGCTCCTTGCGGAGAGTGTCTGCACAGACAGTGTGGTTTGGATTTGGCCGAGCCCCTCAGCACCTTATAAAGCACCTTGCTGAGTCAGGGAGAAAGCAGCCCCAACACGGGAGAGAAGGAGGGGGCCAGGAGAGAAAGGGGAAGGAGGGAGAGGGGAGCTAAGGAGGGGGGCGCTGAGGGAAGAGGAGGGAGAAGAGAGAAGGGACAGGGCAGGAAAGCGGAGACACAAAGAGGCAAATCGGTAGGTGGGAGGGGGAAGGAGGGGGAGGCCTACCCGAAGAAGGAAGAGGAACCGGTGCAGTGGAAGGGGAGGGACACGTCCATGTCCCCCACCTCCACCCCGGCAAACGTTCATCTCAGGAGTCTAGAAAGCATTGGTTTGCAGGAACTGAGTTTTGCAGCTCTGGAATGGGGACCCAGGCCAGCTGGTGCAAGGATAAGTGGCTTTCCACACAGCGCCCCCACCCCCCACCCCGGAGCTGGACGCCCCGACCCCAGGAGCTGGGGAAGCCCTGTTCTCCCTCTGCCTCTTGTCTGGACTTGCAGCCCTGCCCTCTCCTCTCACCTGGGGGGTGGGGTGGGGGAGCAAGCCGCTCCCCTCCCCATCTTCCCCACTGCCCAAGGGAAAATCATCTCCATCTCCAAGCTGCCAGTGCCCCTCTGCCATGTCTGGGCAAAGGCAGCATGCCGGCGACAAGCTGCCAGTTGGGCCGGGGTGGGGGCTGGAGCAAAGACAGTGCCTTTATTCTGCCAAATCCCCAAGGGGGTGGGCAGGTGGGGGTGGGGGTGGGGAAGGAAGAAGGGAGGGGTGGAGAACGGAGAGCCCCTGCAGGGTTTCTGTGGGGTGGCCGAGGCACAGGTGGCTGCCCTCTGATTTCCAGGTGGAGACCTTGGGGGAAGTTACTGCTCCCCGGTGGCTCTCAGACAGGGAGGTTTTCCCGGGCCCTTCCAGCTCTCACCATCTGAGATGCCTGGTGGGGGCAGGGCAGAGGCGAGATGGGGGGGGGCGCCCTCCGAGATCCATCTGTCCCATGATGGCTCCTACAGGCATTTCCTGAGCCCCAGGTCTTGTAAAGGACAGAGGAAAACCCACCCCTGCCTTCGAGAATTTCAGAGTCTGGTGACAAAGGACACTCATTAAACTGAGATCAGAGGGAAGGCCAGCTCTGAGAGGAGATGGAGCTTTTGGGTGGACATGTGTCTGGATGGCAGGAGGGGTGGCTATAACCACTGGCTGAAGCCCTGAGGTCCCACAGGCTGAGGCTGGCAGGCGGAGTGCAGGACGGGGAGTCAGGATGCTGGGCTTCCAACTGGCTGGCGTGGCCTTGGGACAAGCCCATCACCTCTCCGTGGAATGGGATATGACCACCTCCCCAGGGCATGGTGGAGTACCCGTGAGCCGATGAGGGGGATATTGTTCTGATGCCCTCGCTGGCCTTCTTCCAGACTTCACTCCTTACCATCTGCAGGGTTTAGCTGGTCAGGCCTCAAAGGGTGTGTCTGGGTAGGGGGCAGGGCTGGCACCCAGAGATGACTGAGCAGCCCTCCAAGGGGGTGGGGGTGAGTCAGTGTTGACTCAGGGATGGGCTAGGGTTCCACCCCTCCCTCCAGCCTCCCCACCTCCCCCCATAACTGGCACCCCCAGGGAAGGCCGTCTATATGCCCGAAAGACACCACACAGCTGCAGAATTGACACTGAAGGCACCCTGGCTGCTGGGGTATCCGGGGAAGGCTCTGGTCTGTGCCCTCTTGGTGGGTGAACAGGAATGCAGTACTGGAGAAGCCACGGAAGTGAGTAAGGACATCCATCCATTCATTCATTCATCTCTTTGTTCACCAAACCTTCATGACTTCCTGCTCCATGCCAGGCGCCAGGGACACAAAGCCCTAAGAGGACAGGAACCCTAAGAGGCCCTGGGGTTGGGGGGGTGCAGGTCCCACCCCAGAGACTCTGCCAGCCTGCTGCGATGCCTGGCGTTTCTCAGTGACACGCTACCCTTTTGCACCTCTCGGGCTTAACTCATGCCAAGTGTCAAAACACACTGAGCTCTCACCACGAGTCAGGTCCTGTGCGAAGGCTTATGTGAATGATTTCATTCCATTCTTACAATAATCCTAGATAATAAGAACTGGTGTTTCCCCATGTGATACACGAGAAGATTGAGGCTTGGTAAAATGAAGCCACTTGGCTGAAGTCACACCAGGAGGCAGAACCAGGGCTGGAACTGAGGACTGTCAGCCTTGAGCACGGTTCCCTCTTCACCACACCCACCGTGCAGGGACCCTTGAGAAGAGAAGAGGTTGGATGCAGAGATAACAGCATGTGCTGAGCACCCCCTGGCTCAGTTCAGTCCAGTCGCTCCATCGTGTCCAACTCTCTGTGACCCCATGGACTGCCGCACACCAGGCCTCCCTGTCCATCACCAACTCCCAGAGCTTGCTCAAACTCATGTCCATCGAGTCAGTGGCTAGGAGGCATCCAACCTGGGGCGCCCCTGGTCTCTTCAGGACAGTAGCACGCCCTCTGGGTCAGAGTCCCCGTGTGCCTGGAGCAGTTGACCTGGGCTCTCCTGCCCACAGCCCCCACCCACGACTGATGGGCCAGGCACCCCACGTGGGCCTCCTGGGTTGGTGAGAGGCGCCAGCCAGGAGCACTTGCGTCCCTTCAGTAGACTCCATGAGCAGAGCATGGAGTTAGAACCACGGGATGAGCACTGAGCCTGGAGTCAGATGGCGGCCTGCCCACAGAAGCAGGACAAGGGCTTTCCCGTGCCTCTTGAGGGCCGACTCTGCGGTCTGCAACATCCCAGGATGAACGCCCCCTCAGAGTGCAGGGGCCACGGCAGGCAGGAGGGGGAGGAAAGGCAGCCTTCACGCCCCCTTTTCCTCCAAGGGCAGGAGTCCAGAGGGCCCTGCCTCACCCTGAGCTGGCTGTGATGTCAGCAGAAACCCCAGGACCAAAGGCCTCCTCCTACCTTAGCAACAGCCCTGCCCCGTCCTGTATCCCCCACCCGGGCCTGGCCCAGCTTGGGCCTCCTGAAGACACCGCCCTCCCAGCCCCCTGCCTCCTAGCAGCAGAGAAGAACCTGGCTGCTTCCTGCCTCTGCCCTGCCCTACGGGGGTGGGGTGGGGTGGGGTGGGGTGGGGGGGGGCTCGCTCCCCCATCTGCAAGGATGTCAGGGTGATGGATGTGTGAGGAGGGCAGGGCAGAAGGGATGCCCCCAGCTGCTCCCCTCCATCCGTCAGCCAGGAGCTTTGCCCGCCATTCTTCGGGATGTTCCGCTGCCCTGGCCAACCCATGCCGCGGGCTCTGTGACTCCGTCTCCCCTGGCAGAGGAGTGGGGTTACCTCTCCCTGGGCTGGAAGATCCTTATCCTGCCTTGCTGAGTCACTGCCGGTCCCCTCCCTCCCACCAGCCTTCTTCCTTCAGTCTTTCTCCAGACTGGGTTGCACAGGAGCCCCCGGTGGGGTCAGAGGACAGCCGGCAGCTGCTACCTCCTTGGGGCCATCCCAGCAGGCTGGGAGCTGCTTTCACCAGCTGCGTGACCTTGGGCGAGTCACTTGACCCCTTCACACTCTGTCTTCTCTTGCACAAAACAGGGTGATGATAATGGTATCTTCCTCAGAATAAGGGATAATTGACTGGGCACGGCAATCCACTCCAGTGTTCTTGCCTGGAGAATCCCACGGAGCCTAGCATGCTACAGTCCATGGGGTCGCACGTTGGAAGCGACTTAGCACCCACACAGTACTTAATACAAGTCAAACCTCTGGCACTTAAC